ATAAATACCATTTTGCAAATTGTTTTTAAATACATTGTAGCACATTGACATACTATATACATACTTCTTCAACATGATTTTTGATGACTTCATGGTATTCCATTTTATATATGAATAACTACTGATTTAGCCAATTCTCCACTGTAAGCTATTTCTAGTTCTCCATTTTCTTTCTGCATGATAAAAAATTCTTCTGCAGATTCTTAATTTTTTTGTTACTATAAATTCTAGTAAACACAATTTCTATCTCAATAATTTAAAATATTATTGTAATACATTAAAATAATTAAAATCAATTAAATAGAAAATCTTGCATTTGTTAAGTGTATAGTTTTGACTACATACTTACAGTTTTTAAAGTTAAAGCATGGGGTCAAATGAAAACTAATTTTTTTACCTCTCATCATCATAATAGACACCCGTGTTGTACATTTTGAAAAATTAGTTTATTTCACCTAAGTTTTTGGTTAATAGTGGCATCAGTGCTTTAGTGTGGAAGTAAATCTTGAGTTTTATCACTTTAGACAGCAAGGTAAGAACACAGCTCTCTTGTCGGGACTATTTCTGAGAAACTGGGGTGATCTTTGGGGAAGTAGGACTGAGACAAAAAAAGAGATGTATGGTTCAAAAAGAAAAGGTTGCCAGCCAAATTTAACAATAACTAGAAATTGAGTTTTTGTGTGACCCTTGTTACCATAGAAACGACAGTGCTCTTTAGCTTGGAATGCCCTCATCACTTCTCAGCACTTGTGTGAAATCCGGTACAATGAGAAATCACTCTTCTTGGCAATAGCATGTCCAGGGAGACCCCAGGAGTGACCCTCCAAGACTGCCTGTGCTGCCCAGCAATCTTGCTGCCTCTCCTGGCACAGGTTCATACCTTTCCTCACTCCCCCAGATCCCACACCCTGCCCTAATCCATTATTATAGTCTCTAGGAAAACATAGCCATACGGACCAAGACTCCTCAGAGTTTCCCTCCCCACATTTCAGCCTCCCTGCAAATCCCACATGCACTGCCTTCCTTCCAGGCCAGGGGTGAACTGGTCTGGCCCCACGACAGGTTCAGCTCTCCCACTCCAGAAATCATCCCCTTGCTCTTTATATTCTCTCTTTCTCTCCCCTCACCCAACCCAGGCAAGATCATTCCCCCAGCAAGCTCTAATTTCTCCTATCACCTTCCACCCATCTCCCCTTTCACAGCAAAGCTCCTGCAAGGAGTGGTTTCCAGGCTTCTACTTCCTTCTCACTCTCAATCACTCCAGCTAGGGTTCATCTTTGTCACCCCGCCCCCGTCCAAGACACCAGCAACTTCTAGGTCACCAAACATAAAAGTCAATGATGTGTTTTCTCATCTTATTTATCCATCAGCAGCACTGGCACAGCTAACCACTCCCAGATTTTCAAAACATCCTCTTCCACGTGGCTTCCAGCATGCTGCACTCCCTCTCCCTTTGCTCTCACGGTGGCTGCTTCTCAGCCTCCTTGGCTGGATCTTCCTTATTTTCTTCATCTTCCTGTCCTCTGCTGTTGGACCGCCCCAAATTTTAATCCTCAGATCTCTTTTCCCTTCCCATCTCTTCCCGTGTTCGATGCTCTATGTTGATACCATGCAGATCTCTACTTCTAGTCTGGACCTCTCTCCCAAATTCTCATTCTAGTCACTTGGTCAACTTTTCTGCTTAGATCTTTCATAGGCATCTGAAATTTATGATATCCTAAACCAAATGCTTGAGCTTCCCACCTATTCCTGCTTCTCCTGGAGTCATCCCCATCTCACCAAGTGAAATTAGTGATTAGCTCACTGAGGACAAAATCCAGAATTTCCTTTGACTCCTCTTTTGTGCACATTCCACAACTGAATCATCAATAAATCATGTCTAACTTTGAAAGTGTACCTAGATCCCATTTACGGCTGTTATTCTAGTCCCTCCAGCCTATCTCAAAAGCCTCCTACCTGGTCTCTCTGCTTCCCTTTCATCTAGCATGCAGAGTGATCCTTTAGGAGTCAAGGCCAGATCATCGTCATTCTCTGCAGAGACCCATATAAATGTCTTCCCATTTTGTCACAAGTTATGCCTCGGTCACTTTCCCTCCTCTTCTCCTTCAGTTCTTTGAAGTGTCAGCTGTGTGTTACTAAGCCAAGGTTTAGTGGTTCAGGTATACTTTATAACATCTGGTTTTGACATAATAAACACTAGTCATAATTCTGAGGAACTTGTGCCAGTGAGAAGAATTCTCAACACAACTTCCTTCCACAACTTGGCTCCTCCTGGCTTTGGCATTCTTCCTTAGCATCCCACTGTCTTTTATCAGATTTCATTGGATGTTAACTTTGCTCTGCTATGTTTTATTCAAGGTACCACATTTGAAATTCTGTCTACTGTTTTGCCTTAAGGAAAACCACTGCATCTTCCCAATATCATTGCATTCTGAATAGAATGCAGGGAAGCGCTCTATTCCAGAATTTCCCTGTCTTTCTTCTGTCTTCCTTTCCTCATTCTTTTGTTTCCTAAATATCATATTTTTTCCTGCTTTATTTTATAAAATCAAGGAGATTTCAAGAAATAAAGTTAATTAGCTTCAATGCTTTGGTACAAGGTTTTTGTCTTTCCAAACCCTATCATTCTTAGAAATGCATCACAGATGAAGCCCATATTCTGGATCAAAACACACATGTAATTATGTAGGAAAAAAACGTGCCAGAAAAGGTTGACTGTTCCAGGCATGGGAAAAAAATTGACCTCTACTCAGGTTACTGCCATAAATATACAGAGGGAAAGACCTGCATCTGTTTCCCATCGTAAACGCCTGAAGTGTCAGAGCAGTGGCACAACACAGGCACTGGCTAGCAAATAGAACGAAGTGCTGAGGCTGTCCATAGCCCAACGTCTATGGCAGTGCAGTGGAAAGAGCATCTAATACTTGACTTACCGTTCTAATTTCATAGAGTTTTGAATATATTGTCAGGATTTAATTCCAATAATCTGCTTCTAACTATTGAAAATAAAATAACTTTCTACTAGACTTCAAGGCAAAGATTTTTGTCTTCTTTGCAGTCAGAGGATGTGATTACAGAACTGAACATAACCTTCTAGGTCAACTAGTTTTAATGTGGCTACCTTGAATGACTTATATGAACCTCTTATAGAGGCATTGGGAGTTTTTCATCTCTACTTGCTGGCCTATCTCATACTTGAGAATTTCAACCCCCAAAGCCAAAGTCTGAGTATTTAGGCAAGCAGACATGAATTAGTTGCACCTCCTCGCTTAGGCTGTATTATCTGGGACTGCAAATGAGGAGGCAGCATCCCCTCCTCGCCAGCTCCACACTGCTGTGCTCAGCTCCACTCACACAGTGGGCAGCCATGGCCTGCTTGAAAGAAATGAATTAATGCATCTTCATACAGATGTTCTCTTTATTGTAAGGAAACATGTACTGGCGCTAATAAGATGCGCGAAGTTTTTCACTACCACGTACTCACAAGAATGACAACTGCAGAAGCAGAACCATTCCCAAGACTGTAAGAATGGCCTGGGCAGGCCAGTCTGGGGAGTCAGGCAGGAACTTCAGAAGCAGGGTGTTTGTTCCAAGGGGCAATAGATCAGGAGACCAAAGGCAACTCCTCGCTCTGAGACTTTTCCTCATCTGAAAACCAGAGTGTTTAGCAGAGAAAATCTCCCAGACTTAAGGGTGGAGGCTGTGGCATGCTATGCTGTTAGAAAAATTAGCTCAGCACCTTTGGCTTGCGTTTGGCCCTCGCTTAGCTTTCCACACAGACATTCCAAACAGAGACCTTTTAAAACTCAGTCTTCAAATGAAGGTGGTTGGAGCAACACCTTGGATGATATCACAAGACTCCCAGGGCGACGCTCCACTGCTTCCTCAGCATATTACCAGTGCCCGTTTTACAGGGGGGATTTATGATCCTTCTTTCAGTAGAGCGAGCCAAAGTTTTATAATATACGTTAAAAATCAGCACCACATGTAATAATATGGAACACTGCCTTACACAAGGGGGCCAGGTTATAGATGTTCAGGGAAACGGCAGAATTTCCAGGCCTTGGTGTGGGGTGAAGTTGCAGGCACCAGCACAACACTAACACAACCTTATTTTATTGCAAAGGTATGTTCAGCCTAAGTCCTAATTACTCTCTTTAAAATTCGAACTACAAGCAAGCTTTCTTCTGATAGGGCAGCAACACCCTGGCAGATTCCAGCGTGAAAGGCAGGGGAAAGTGGCTGCAACACAGTAGGAGATGGCTAAAGGTGGAAAGACTAGCTCTCAATTTACGCTTCGAAATAGATCGCGCTCTTTCCAAAGCCTGGCGTGGGGAGGTTAAAGGCTCACTCAGTGGGGCAGGCCTAGGCTCTACTGAAAAGGATCCAAACACCACCATCTCTCATGGGGCGGAGGCTGCTCTTCCAGGGCGCAGTCCCCCAAAAGAGGTTCAGGTTAGCTTTGTAGTGGTTCTTGAAGCATCCTTTCCTGTCCCTCCCGGGAAAGGATAGACAACCCAGGAATCCCAGGTTTTGAGGTCTGGCTCCTCTCTCCGGGGTGCAGTGCTAGTGCCTAGGGCTCTGGCACCTTCCACATGTGCCACACTAAACCTCCACCACTAGCCTCACCATAATAACCCCCAAACCCTTGTCTTCCAAGGCCTGGCCGAGGCAGCCGGTCAGCCGGGCGGGTAAAGGCGAAGGCTCTCCCAGCCGCTCGGCCGCACAAAGCGGGGAGATCGGCGGCCGCGACGGTGTGAGGCGCGCCCCCTCCCGCGAGCCGGCGGAGCGCGCGCGCCCGCCCCCGCCCCCGCCCCCGCCCCCGCCCCCGGAGCGCCATTCGCGGAGCGGCTTACGCTAGTCGCCGGGCGTACGGCGCCCCAGCGGCCGGGGAGGTGCGCTGCCCGGCTCCCGTAAAGTTATTGTGAATGGGGAGCGGATGACGTCAGCGCCGAATGTCAACAATGTAGCGATTGAGAGTGTGGGCGTTCCGGGGAGAGCGCGAGCCGCGCGGCGCGGAGCAAACAGCGCCGAGCCGCCGCCGCCTCAGCAGCACAGCAGCAGCAGCAGCAGCGGCCGTGCACGCCCGGGCTGCGGTCGCAGCAGCGCTAACGTGAGCGCCCGCCGCCGCCCTCGCCACCCCGCCTGCCCACTCCCGCCGCCGCCCGGCTCTCGCTTTCTCCCGGGCCTCCCCTCGCCCCTTCCCCTCCCCCTTCCCGGCACACTCGGGGGGCTGGGAACGAGCTGCCATGTGATGCGCGTCCCCTCCGCGAGCTTTCGGTGACCCCCGAACCGCCCACCGCGCCGGCTGCCGGGAGGGGGCCGCGGGCTGGGAAGACGCAGGGAAGAGGAGGCTTTTGGAAAAGGACGCAAAGTTCTCAGTCGAGGTGAGTCCCCGGCCCCGGGCCGCGGGCCCCAGCGCCAGGCGGGGCGGCGGGGCAAGTTTGCTGAGGGTTAGAGGGGGGAGCGGGTGCGTGGAGCTGGCGGGAAGGCGTGGGGAAAGCCGCGCGGGAAGGGAGCCGCGGCCGCCCGGCGTGCAGCCTCCCGCCCAGCGCCCTGCCCGCTTTTATGGCATTTTCTAGGAACGGGAAGGGGGTGGGAGCGGAGCCGGCGGACGCGCGGCTGCAAATGTGCGCTCTCCCGCCCGGCTGTTTACGGCTGGCGAGGCGGCATTGTATTTTGCTCGGGTCGTTGGGTGTTTTGGAACAGCAGGGGGAGGAGGAGCAGAGGGTAATAACTCAGGCGTGGGGAGGGCGGGCTGGAGGGAGGCGCGCGTCCGCGGGAGACAGAGCAGCTGTCAGATCCACGGCCCTGCCCCGGCCCGGAGAGGCCCGGACGCCCGGGTCCTTAGCCTGCGATCCCCGCGCCAGGCCGGGCGGCCTCCTCCCTACCCACCGCATCCGCATCCAGTGCTGCTCTGCGAAGACCGCGGGCGCCGCGCCTTTGCGCTCAGCTGTCAGCCGCCGCCGGGTGGCCCGGACCACCGCGACTGGCAGGGAATTAGAGCTCAAGTTTAGGGTCCTAGGAAGAGGTAGCTGGGGGCCTTGCGGCGCAGACCTAAGTGGAATCCCTACTAGCCAATGATGGGATTGTCGGAATGCGTTCCGCGGAGCTCAACCCAGGAGCTCATGCCTTCTGAGAGGGACACCTTGCCCCTCTCCCCGACGTCCTGCAACACACATCCACACCGTACACTTCAGTCTCCAAGCCCCAGGGCTCCACCTGGGACACGAGTTTATCCAGGGGACACTTCTCTCCAACTCCCCACATCGAGGCTCTCTATGGGTCTCACAGTTCTCTCGCCCGGTGGGTGTTCAGGAACCAAGAGTCGCGGAGAGGCGGCGGGCGGCGATCCTGGGTTGCTCCAGGTGTCCGCGAAAGGGGACTTTTCGAGCATCCCGGCGACCTTGGTCTGGCAGAGGATTTGCAGGAACTTGGAGAAAGCAAACGGGCAGGGCCGGGTGTACGTGTCTGAAGGGCCGCGCACCCCGTCCTCGGGGGTCGTGGGCGCACCGGGTATTACTAGCATGCTCTTGCGTGTATGCAACTTTGGCAAGTTGGGGGGGGGAGTTCTTGTGGTTTTGACTGTGGCCCCAAAAGGTGCGCCTCGCAATCTGCCCGCCTAGTCACCGCCTTTGCTGTCACCCGTGGCCGCGGGGAAACTAGAGGGACTAGGGCGCTCCACCCCCGAGACGCAGCTGCAGACTCCCCGCGAGCCCGCGGCTGGCGAGACGCAGCGTTCCTCGATTTTCACCTTCGCTGTCTGGTGCTGCAGTCTCTCACTCTGTGTAAATTTCATCTGTTGAATGTATTTAACTAAAAAGGGTAATTACTACAGATAAAAATCCTTTCCTGCCTAGTGGGAACCTTGGCGGAGATGATGCCTAATGAGATTTTTTTTTTTTTTGCTTTTGTCTGTTTAGAGTAAAATTAGAGATGTTAAATCTGATAACGGTTTTCTCAGATCATTAAAATGTAACATGTAGTAAAGGCATGTCGGGCTGCGAAGACTCAGGCTGACATGAAAGAAGCTGAGCGTGAAAGGCTGCCTGCCACTCCTCTGGGGGAGAGGGCTATTTCAGTAAGGCAGCGGGCGTCTTGCTTAAAATGTGTTGTCGCCCCACCCTGGTTCTTCAACAGCTCGCGAGTAAACGGCATTTTTCATTCTTGCAGGTAATAATAAATGTGAGTCAAAACTGACATCTTGTTAGGATTAGTCTTTAGTCTATAAGAGAGATTGCTAAATTACAGTGTTGCATTCAAAGTGCGCCAGTGAAAGGTCTGTCAGCGTTTCCATTATAAATTCAGTTTTTCAGGAGTTTATAATTTCACCACAAAACTTTGAATGGTTGCAATTTAAAAAAAAATTTCCTTCTAGTGTTCTGTCCTTAAAAATGCATTGCTTTCCCACTTTGATACTATTGGCTAATCCTGAAACTTGAACATCACTGAGGAGGGAGGTGGGTACCAGAAATGGAATATTCAGCCATGGAATAAAGTACTATCGTTAGTGCTTTTATTTTGGATTTTAGAAGGCTTCAGACTTGCCATTTAGTAATCATAAATGTGTGTAGTAAATTCCTCTGACATCTGTCTATTCTGCAGGCAAATTGAAATATTAGCTCATAGCGTATATGCTAGGATTACGTGGAGAGATAGTTTCCTTGTGTGTGTAAATGTCTGAACTCATAGTTAAATTATGAATCGGTGTTAGTTGTTCTTCAGTCCTTTGTATATTGCATATGGGGATCTGTCAAAAAGAAGAAAGGGTGAGGCAGAAAGGGATGGAGAAACTCAAGGTGCCCTAATTCACTTTCAATATTACCAGTGCTTGGGAAGAAATCTTTTATTCTTTTTCTATTGAATTATGCCCTTTGACTCAGTATCTTCAGGCAATTCCCTTCCAGTCACTCACCTCTGGCTGCTGTGTGAGGGGCTTAATTATTTGCAAACTGCCTTGAAATCCCTGGATGAAAGGCACTGAATAAAGGCAGAGTATTGTTATTCAGATATGGAATTTAATGATCCATTACAGTTCATCAGGAAAATGCACTTTGCAGTGATGGTAGGAAACACTTCCACCCAATAGAGGGTAATAATAACTGCTTAAAAGTAGGTTCAGATTACAGATGAGACAATTAACTCTAGCCATGTGCTCTTCAATTTGTTGCAATTCATTTTGTGATCAAAGTGAGTTGCAAAGAGCCAGATGGTCAGGTTCTTGTTCAAATCTCTCCTAGGCCAGCCCTTCACTTCTGGGCCCACTGTCTGCACAGCCCTTAGTTATTCATTAGTGATTGTGAGCTATTCCTCAGAATTTGTAATTGAGGCTCCTGTGATGCCAACAAAAGGGCGCAAGCCAATCTGTATTGTTAGGACCAGTTTAATTTTACTTGGATTAACTCTCACTTAGTGTTTCTGGTGTGGATCCAGCCTTAACAAGGGAGAAAAAGACCCCAGTTCCTCTGTTCAGCTCTGCTGTTCTAGGCTTTGAACTTCAGATTTCAGGGGGTATGTTTGCTTCTTGCTAATGCTGACTTGATTGTTGAATGAATGAGAGAATACTTAAGTAACCTTGCTGTTTGTCTGGAGGGTGAGGAGCGGACTAGCTTCATGAACATAAGATGAGGGCAATTGCACATGACCTCCTGTCCTCTTTGGCTCAGAAGGTTCTCACACCTGGCTTAACATTCTGCTGCTGTCTCCTTGAAATCCTTAATTCCTGAACAAGGGGGCCCTCATTTCCACTTTTCACTGCATCCCACAAATTATGTATCTGGTCTTTGTGAGGAGAGGGCACAGTATCTTAGAGTGTCAGGCAACTGCTTCTCCATCTCACTTGTTGTTATCTACTGTTGCCCAGGAGGACTTTGTGTTGCAGCATCATTAGGCTTTTCCAAGGGGAGCTAGGTATCCACACTTTCATGAGAATCCCTTATCCCTTCATTTTTTTTTAAATGTTGGATGAGAATGTATGTAAAAGTTAGAGCTGGCCTGAAGGTGGCTTGTTTTTCACCACTAAATAGCCTAAGTCATCTTATTGTTTAATATTTGTAGATTTAGCTGTTTGCTAACCACTTAGCACATAGTGGATAATCTGTGAGTGTGTACCAAATGATGGTTACAACTACCAAGAAAATTGATAGATGTAAGAAAAACAAAAGTCTAAGTCAACGCTGAATCTCACTCAGGGATTGATGCCTTCCTTTGTAATGGAGAATTCAACCTGAAGGACTGGATGGTTAATACCATGAGCACAGTGTTATCCTCTGCAGGCAAATAATCTGTTACTTTGAACCACTCACCTTCTGTTTAGTTATTATTGACTAGATGGGTTAACATGGCTATTTAATGTCTGAAGTCTTCCATATAAGTTTGACATTTGAGAACACCTACTAAAGGTAATATATTTGACTCATTGAATGTTCACAGTGTATCAGGCAGTGCTATTTCTTTACCCATTCATCCCTCCTTGACTCTTCAGAGCAGCCTTGTAAAGTAGACATTGTGTCCCTTCTATAGAACTGGAAGGTTCTAATTGGAATTCATCTGAATGCAGTGTCTGTTTTCTTGAGTGTCTACAGGCAGTTTCCTGTCCTGTACACACAATGCAGCCATGGGTCAATGACTGTAGTTTGCATGGTGGTATGGTGTAGCACCGCAGCACACAGAGAACATGGTCCCTGTCCTCTATCCAGGGAGCAGTGAACAGTACAAGATGGAGCACGGTTGTCAGCACCAACTGTACACCTGCCTCCCTGTGCCTCTGCTTCCCCTGTCTGGATATTGAAGAAGATCCAGTGACATATGACCTATTAGAGGCAACGTTCAGAAGTCAGGGCTTAGTGCAAAAATGGAAATTTCATTGGTAAAACAGAGAGAAGCTAGAGTCATGGTTAAGGAAAGTAGCACCAATGCTATGGAAACACTGGAGAAGAGCTCTGGATTGTCAATGATAATATATGACAATGTATTTAATAAAGAATTAAATTTTAGGCAAATATTTACAAATTGTTCAAGTCTACATTGAAATTTGTTGTGACCTGAACATTTTGTAAACTCAGTACAGTTGTCTAAAATATAACTCACCTTATTATTTTAGTTTGGAAGACTAAAGTAGAAAAGTTATTTGTCAATTCAGGGTTTTCTTTTGAATTTTTCCCTCTTTTTTCCTTTTTGTTAATCTCAAATGTCAGTTTACTTAAAATTGAAAATCATACTATCAGCCTGTCATTCCCTTAAAGCAGTTAAGTATCCAGGGAATCTTAGCACCAGTCCTTTTCAAGGACCACTTCATTTCTAAAGAATATGCAAATCGAGTCTCTTCCTGCTAGTGCACTACTTCAAAAATCAGGCAGGAATTTTGCCTTTGTTTTTCCTTGAGCTA